TTTCAGAAGAGATTTTTTCAAATTCTGATTTTTTTCTTTCTTCCACCACACTGTCCCAATTGTTCAAACAGTTTCCATGGAAACCGAACCGAAAACTCTCACATATTCCCTAATCAAGTCACTTTTGTCAGGTAAGTTGATGTCTTAATTTTTAATAATTAAAATGTCAGGTTATATACAGGGGGAAACAAAAGTATTGTCTTTTTCTTGGCTTTCACTAATAAAAGTGTTTCTTGTTTTGTTATCACTTTTTTAAATGTAAATGAATCATTTAAACACTTATTCTGCTTCTTAAAACTATTTACAAGTATTTACAAACTCAATAAAATATGTGTTTTGTTGTCAGGCATAAAGTTTCTTAATTTTCTCTTATTAAGTTGAGTTTATTAGTTTAATTTGTTTATTGATCGTTAACCTACATGTTTCTATCTATTTATCATTTTTTTCCTAATTATTTAATGTTATAAACTTTATTCTTTGTAGATTTCCTGCACTTATTTGGAGAAAACTGTTTCCTGTGGATTTTTTTAACGTCTTGACTGATACTATGATACTACCAGTGAGATCAGTCTTATTTGTATGCAATATTCTCATTTACAGGTTGCAAATTATTGTTTTATTTGTACTTCACAAACCTGTTAAAGCAAAATTGTAAGTATTACGTTATTAGTAAAAATTTTTGTATGTATTATTATTTTATTCATAATTATTCTCATTATTTGAGACTTATTTCGTCTTTTCTTCTGGTCAAACTAATTCATTTGACTAAAAATGATGCACATTATTTATTAATTATTGTTACTTTGCGGTTTGATATACCAGGTGATTCATAACTTCAATTATTTCTTAATTATACATGATTTTGCGTTAATTTTCTTTAATTTCAACTTATAGATTTTATTGACCGTTACAATATGTTATATATTTTGTTAATAATAAAAATACTTACTCATAAATGTATTGTACTGTGCAGCATTTCTTACCTGTAACAAATTAAATAGGATTATAATAGATATTAACGATATGACATGTTTAGCGAAAGAAATAATGTTCAATTTTATTCTTTATATAAAACAAATTAATATTAACATACTTTACACAAAAAAATTAAAATGTATTCCGATATTGTGCAAAGTTTTCCTTACATATATATTTCGAGAAGCTCTGTATTCTGATATATTGGGTCGTATTGGATACATTGAATCGCCAATTCCATTATTTGAAATGAAAAAGTTGATTGTCTACCGAACCTGCCAATTACTTGGAGATTTGGGGGATACGTCTCGTCGGCTCACGGACTAAACCTGTGCGGGCGTCTGAGGGATATTAAGATGGGATCGCAAAGTCGGGTGTTTCTTGGACATAGCGTTTAACTATTAGTTGTGGCTGTTGGATGGTGAAAATTGGGGAAAATCCTGCATAAAAAGTCAATTTGCGTGGATTGTTTGGGCCTTTTCGGTTATCCGGAGAAAGTGTCGTCGGATTTTAGAGGTTTATAAAAAAAAGGGGGAATTTTACCGTTGGGAGACCGATAATAAAAACTTATGAAGGCAAGGATTTTTTAAAATTCCTTCTGTGGAGGTAGAGCAGTTTTTCATATATTTTTTTGACATTTTTATAATGAAAAAGCATTCATCATAAATTTTTGTTTTATGAAAATATAATTACAAAAGAATCTTAGTACAATAAAGTAACAGTAAGTTCTTGTTTTAAGGTTTATACCTATATTCTTTAATTAGCTAAAAGTAACATTATTAACTTCAGTAGTAACCCTAAAACAATGTCACTGAATTAATTGACAGAAGTAAGAAGTAAATATTATTTAAATTCTATTTTAATATAGTATTTATATTATCCAAACATTTAAAAAATTAAGTATTTTTAGTTTTATTTTTTTTTTCATTTTCGTACTTGGAATAATGAAGTTCGAAGAAAAAGTATAGTGTTTTACTGGTCGAACACCATTTTCGTCACTTCTAAAGCAGTATACTACTATCTATCAATATAATCTAAAAACTATACAATTTATTTCATTTTCTTCCCATCTCTCAATTTTATGCCCAACCTTTCAAGGATACAACTTCTAAATATTTATCTCGTTTATTTTCTCTTCATATCAGAGAAAGTTTACTTTCCGCCCGAACAAACCAAAACATTTTTTCGCATCGTAAATAATGTAATTTAAAGAGAAAAAAAAAAGAAAGCATAGTAGTCGAAAAGTGTTTATCCTCGAGTTTTTACAAAAAAAACTCGAACGTCCTTTGTGATGAAAGCAGCGCCCGTTTATTTAGGACTTCGCGAATAAAATTCATCGCCCGACGAAACAATTAAGTCACTTAAAAGTTGCCGAGCCACAAAATAAACAACACCGCAAGAATATACAATTTACATTTATCGTTTTTCTTGAAAAATTCATGTTCACCGTGTGAAGGACGCTATTTAGCTGTGTTTTACGATTTAAATCACTTATAAACGTCAAATCAAAAATATTTAACAAATAAACAATTCCAAAAACACAACTTCAAATTTCAAACGCTAACGTCGCTAACAAATAAATAAATGGCTATCGGCATAAAAATGTTCGTTCTACGCCAGTGGCGGGACCCTGTAGTTACAAAGCTACATCAGTGAACAATACATAATTTGGATTCTGATGAATTCATCCATGTATACATTTTGTCGCTAGGATCAGCAGTGGCGTAACTAGAGTTGACTCATGGAGGGTTTACTCCAATATATTACAGGTATAATATACAGGGTGTCTGTAAAAGGTCTTTACAAAAACATACCACATATTCCTTGGACCAAAATAAGTCGATTTAAGTTAAATTACATTAGTACAAAGTTGCTTCGTTTGGGCTCCAGAGGACCTTGAAGTTACAATTTTTAAATCGTTTTTCCCATATAAATTTAAAACGGCATATACGATTTTGCTAAAATTTGGTATATTGGTAGAGTTTTATGTGGCAAAAAAATGGTATTAAAATTTTGTCCGATAATAATACATAGACGTAGAACTTGATTTTTTAAATAATTGCACCTTTAAAAATTCTACGCCAATGGAAGAAAAGGAGTTTGAGTATTAAATTTAGATTGCGCAACTCATTTACTTTAAAAAAGGTACTCTTGATAAGACTCGATTACTCTCATGGTTTTGACGAAATTTGCATTTTAGTAATTTTAGAACATAAACAATAATTATTAAAATACAAACTTTGTCAAAACCATGAGAGTAAATCGAGTGTTATCAGGGGTACTTTTTTGTAGTAAATGAGTACCCAATCCAAATTTCATACTCAAACCCCTTTTTTCCATTGGTGTAGAATTTTTAAAGGTGCAATTATTTAAAAAATCAAGTTCTGCGCCTATGTATTATTATCGGACAAAATTTTATACGATGAAAAACATAAAAATGTACTTTTTTCATATCTTCTTCAACACCTCTAATCGCGACTTTTAACAAAAATACTCGATTCTTGCAATGTACGATTTTTTCAGGAATATTAATTATTTGCCTGTAATACGTATACAAAAACATTTATTGTTGGTTTCCATAGTTTCATCTAAATAAAAATATTGTCAAGTTTTAACACCTAATCTATTGTTAACGATTGAAAGTGTTCTATCTGACTCAATAATTAAAAAAATAAATGCGTGGTTTATTAATATGGCTGTACAATATACCAATGCAGAATATACCGATATGTTACTGACATTAGGATTTTGTGAAGGAAATGCTCTAGAGAGTGTCAGGGTGTACTCTGAAAGGTTTCCAAATCGTCGTGTACCTAGCCACCCAACTTTTGCTGCTGTTGAGAGACGTCTTCGGGAGACCGGTTCCTTTGCTCCCAACACTGTTGATAATGGAAGAGAACGTTTTGTAAGGATTCCTGAAGTTGAATAAGGCATTTTAGAACGTGTTGAAGAAGATCCAGAATTAAGCACCAGACGAATTCGAAGGGAACTAGGAGTAAGTGAAGATGTCGTTCATAAAGTGCTTGGAGAACAATTGCTATATCCATACCATAAGACGCCAGTACAAGAATTATTGATCCTCAAATTCGTTTGGGTTTTTGTCGATTTGTTAATATGCAAAGAGAAAGAGATCCAAACTTTGTCAAGAAGGTTCTCTTTGCCGATGAAGCGGGTTTTACAAGAAGAGGTATAAATAATACCTATAATGAACATGTTTATGTCGTTGAAAATCCGCATGCCATAAAGGTAAACCATTTTCAGCACGAATTCAAAATTAATGTGTGGGCTGGAATAATTGGTAATTTCATTGTTGGTCCTGTCATACTTCCACGAAGATTAACTGGAGAAAATTATTTGGATTTTCTACAAAATACGTTGCCAGAATTGTTAGAAGATTTACTTCTCCAACTTCGGAGAGATATGTGATTTATGCAAGATGGAGCTCAACCACATTTTTCTTTAAACGTTAGAAACCACTTGAATAAACAATATCCACACAAATGGATAGGCAGAGGTAATGACGCACCTGTAAACTGGCCACCACGTTCCCCAGATCTAACACCGATGGATTACTTTTCATGGGGACATCTGAAATCCACAGTTTACAGGGAACCTGTAGAAAATGAGGAACGACTCTGGCAACGTATTCAAGATGCAATAAACAATCTTAGAGGTGATGAAGAAGTTATGGAAAGGATACATTTTAATTTTCTTCGACGTATAAATCTTTGTATGCGTGAAAATGGTGAACATTTTGAACAATTTTTGTAAAATCTCTATTTTTGATTATGTAGTAATTAATTGCCTTTCTTGAGCTGATTTTCAAATCTTTTACCCTGTTGTACTCCATATGAAGTTCGCCAATGGCAGCGACATCACTAATTTGTATATCTCTCTGATATAAATTCAGAAGTTTTTTAAACTTTCTTCCTGTGTTTAGGTAGATTCAGCATTGCTGGTAGGTATTAGACACTCAAAACCTACCAGAACTTCTTCATGTTTTAGAAATCGACGATTCAATTCACTTAAACGTGATCCAAAAATAGCAAAAATGTAGAAATCCTAAAATATGATTCAGGAGTGTCTGTTTCAATGTTGCACCTCTGTGCAGTCGGATGCTCTTTCGTTACATAAGTCTGTGTTGCCATGCATTTTCCACTTATTGCTGAGGTCCCATCATATCCTTGTCCTCTAAAAAACTTTGTATCGATTCCAAACTCATGTAAGGAATTTAAAATGATTATCACAAGGTTCTTACCTGTTAAATCAGAAACAGGTACAAACTGAAGGAAATCTTTTCTAATGCCATTATTATGTAGGTATCCCACGCCGATTGAGACGTCTGTCGTTTCATCTGCAAGAACAGTAAAACATTTTGCTGAATTTACCATCTTAACCAATTTCTTCAGCATTATATCATTAATTGCATAAATAATTTCATTTTGTGCTTTTGGTAAAAGGTCTCTATTGGCACGAAGTGGTATACCCTGCCGACCACAAAACAATACAGTTTCAATTATTGGTAGGACTGCGTTATTATTTTTAATAATTTGTTGCTGCAGAGCTGTGTTTTGTAGCATCTGGACACTCGGTATCGTGCCTCTATAAGTTTTTAACCAATATTCAGCATTAAGTATACAGCGTTTATGGTATTCATTATTTTCGTGGTTATTGAATTGTTTCATCGCGTCCTTCCAACGTCTGAAAGGCTTTTTACTAAAACACCCAAAGTCTGGAAGCCTTTTCCTGCTCTAAAAGATGAAAACAATAAAAAATATTTGCAGTAAGTTCCGTCTTCAAACTTGGAGTAGAACAGCTATTTCTATTATGAAAATACACTCATGAAGGGTTCTCCATTATCACTCTTCTTTCTTCATCGCCAATCTGCAAAAGAATTTGCACTTATTTAGTACAACATCAGTTATCAGAAAAGTAAAAAATACTATCTCCTATTTTAACCTTATATTAACCTCGTGAAGCTCCACGAGAAATACAGGAATTGCAATTCCTATTAGCAGTGCTCATTTCAGTCATTTTTCCACAGCTGCCGACTTCTTTTCAAAAAAGTAAATAAATATTTCTTGTGAAACGTTGTAACTATATTTTAGGTAACCTTGTATACTTGTAGAAAATGTTAGTTCTTTATCTTTGACCATTTTTAAATTCCAACCAAAATAAACGCTATTTTAAAGTTTCGCCGTATAAGAATGAACAAGTTTAGCCTCGCCGGAATCAAAACACTGGCAGTGCTTTTGCTTTTTGGTTCGTCCCCGACTATAAATTGCGATAAATAGAGAATCCAGCGTAGCACAAGAGTCTTCTTTTCAAATTTACATAAACTAAACTAGTTGGTAGTTTTGCGAGTCTTTTCCGGTCCCCGATAAGATACGACGATGTGCCTTTTTCAAAGTTAAAGCTATGTCTCTCGAGTCGACGGGAGAATATAAGGTATGCCGTGCAACTTGAAAATTATGCATTGCAGTTGTGGCAAAAAACAACTTTTACCTAAGTCGACAAAAATAGTGAGTTCAGAGTTTTTTCTCTCCCTTTTCTTTTTTTTTTTTTTGGTTTATTTTCACCTACCTTGTTACATCCGAAATATACAGGGGATGAATTATAAAATAGCGAGAAAATACCATTTATGGAATTTAGTGCATAAATGCATTTATCATTATAATAAATTATTAATCTCACTCTTTTCTCCATAGTGGAAATACTCGTAATAGTAATAATTATTATTAATACAATGGAGGAGGTTGGTAAGAGTCGATCTTCCTTTAATGAAGCCGTGTTGTTGTTGTTGTTGAGGTATAACATTTTCATGGATTAAAAAGGAGGATGTTTTTTCGGCAACAATTGATTCCATAACCTTACAAATAACTGGTAGGAGGCTGATCGGGCGGTAGTTATTGGGATCAAGTTTATTGCCTTTTTTAAAGATCGGAGTAACAGATGTAGTTTTTCAGGAGGAAGAAAGAGAACCTAGAGTTAAGGATGTATTCATTATTATAGAAAGAGGGTATAACAGAACGTCTGCGCATTTTTCAAGAAATAAGGTGTTAAGCCGTCAAGGCCAGGGGATGAGTTAGCTTTAATACCTAGTAAATTATTAGGTGTACAAATAAGTTTTAAGACAGTTTTCAAGAAATTCAAGATTTATTAAAAAAGAAGTAAAACACAGTTATTCATCGAAGTAATCTCCATCGCACTGAATGACCTTCAGCCATCTCTCAGGTAGGTCGCGGATGCCTTTTGCAAAGAAACTTTCGTCTTGCGAGGTGAGAAATTTAGAGACCCATTTTTCCACTTCTTCAAATGTTTTGAATCGCACGTCAGACAAAAATAATAATCGGATGGGGCTAAGTCTGGTGAATACGCCGGGTGTGGTACAGCTTCCCATCCAAGCGCTAGTAACGTATCCTTGACCGGTTTATCCACATGAGGCCGCGCGTTGTCATGGAGCAGTTTTACTGGACGTTTTCCTTTACCAGAAAATGGACGTTTCTTCTCAATTTCTTGATTCACTTGCAGCAATTGATGACAGTAGCGATCGGCAGTAACTGTTTGACCAGGTTTGAGAAGTTAATAATACTGGATTTCATATCTCACCATACGCACAGCTAGCCCAATCGGATTAGTATTTTAGATTCTGAAAAATTGGAAGCAGCAATTTTCCTTCGGAATTCGTTGGAGGGGGTCTCTGGTAGTCTAAATTCAAAAAGTTGGGATTCCAAAGTTGTCGCTACCTCCGCCATCTTGATTTAAAGGGTTATTTTTTGTATCTTGAATAACTCATTTATTTTCAATTTTACAAGGAAAATAGTTTTTACAAAAGTTATTTAAAATTAAATTTCCTACAATTCTGCTTTTTTTTGTACGATCGATTTTTTCGATTTAAACCCGAAAAGAGGGGGTGAATTTTTGGTTATAGAATAACTCGTTTATTTTCAATTTTACGAGAAAAATTGTTATAAACAAAGTTGTTTAAAATTAAATTTCCTACAATTCTGCTTTTTTTTGTACGATCGATTTTTTTCGATTTATACCCGAAAAGAGGGGGTGAATTTTTGGTTATAGAATAACTCGTTTATTTTCAATTTTACAAGAAAAATTGTTATAAACAAAGTTGTTTAAAATTAAATTTCCTACAATTCTGCTTTTTTTTGTACGATCGATTTTTTTTCGATTTATACCCGAAAAGAGGGGGTGAATTTTTGGTTATAGAATAACTCGTTTATTTTCAATTTTACGAGAAAAATTGTTATAAACAAAGTTGTTTAAAATTAAATTTCCTACAATTCTGCTTTTTTTTTGTACGATCGATTTTTTTCGATTTATACCCTAAAAGAGGGGGTGAATTTTTGGTTATAGAATAACTCGTTTATTTTCAATTTTACGAGAAAAATTGTTATAAAGAAAGTTGTTTAAAATTAAATTTCCTACAATTCTGTTTTTTTTTGTACGATCGATTTTTTTGTATTTATCCCTGAGAAGAGTGGGGGTGAACCTAAGTATTGTATTGTCACGTTTATTATTGATGTTGTACCGTTATTTTTTCTGTTTGTTTTTTTTTGCTGATACCTGGAATTAAAAAGAAACGTGATAATACAATGATAAGAGTTTACCCCCACTCTTCTCAGGGGTAAATACAAAAAATCGAGCGTACAGAAAAAAAACAGAATTGTAGGAAATTTAATTTTAAACAACTTTGTTTATAACAATTTTTCTCGTAAAATTGAAAATAAACGAGTTATTCTATAACCAAAAATTCACCCCCTCTTTTCGGGTATAAATCGAAAAAAATCGATCGTACAAAAAAAAAGCAGAATTGTAGGAAATTTAATTTTAAACAACTTTGTTTATAACAATTTTTCTCGTAAAATTGAAAATAAACGAGTTATTCTATAACCAAAAATTCACCCCCTCTTTTCGGGTATAAATCGAAAAAAATCGATCGTACAAAAAAAAGCAGAATTGTAGGAAATTTAATTTTAAACAACTTTGTTTATAACAATTTTTCTCGTAAAATTGAAAATAAACGAGTTATTCTATAACCAAAAATTCACCCCCTCTTTTCGGGTTTAAATCGAAAAAATCGATCGTACAAAAAAAAGCAGAATTGTAGGAAATTTAATTTTAAATAACTTTTGTAAAAACTATTTTCCTTGTAAAATTGAAAATAAATGAGTTATTCAAGATACAAAAAATAACCCTTTAAATCAAGATGGCGGAGGTAGCGACAACTTTGGAATCCCAACTTTTTGAATTTAGACTACCAGAGACCCCCTCCAACGAATTCCGAAGGAAAATTGCTGCTTCCAATTTTTCAGAATCTCAAGCCTGTTCTTCACCTAATTCGATTGGGCTAAGCATGACTTTGTTACAATGAACATTGCGCTTTGGCGTGGATGGTGTCCGGGGTCAACCCAATGATATTTGCGTTTCGAATTATCAAAATAAATCCACTTTTCATCGCCGGTCACAATTTTCCACAAGAAAACTATGTTGCTTGTTGTAAAGACTCACACAAATGTTATTTTCTTGAGTCAGAAAGTGTGGTACCAACTTTTTGAATTTAGACTACCAGAGACCCCCTCCAACGAATTCCGAAGGAAAATTGCTGCTTCCAATTTTTCAGAATCTCAAGCCTGTTCTTCACCTAATTCGATTGGGCTAAGCATGACTTTGTTACAATGAACATTGCGCTTTGGCGTGGATGGTGTCCGGGGTCAACCCAATGATATTTGCGTTTCGAATTATCAAAATAAATCCACTTTTCATCGCCGGTCACAATTTTCCACAAGAAAACTATGTTGCTTGTTGTAAAGACTCACACAAATGTTATTTTCTTGAGTCAGAAAGTGTGGTACCAACTTTGTTCCTTTTCGAATCTTACCCATTGCTTTTAAACGATAAAAAACAGTTTGTTGAGTTACTCCAAGCTGTTTCGAAAGTTGTTTCTCCGTCTCACAAGAGTTTTCATTCAGGAACGCTTGCAGTTCCTGATCGTCCACCTTTATAGGAGGCGTTCACGGTCACTAACGTCGAAATCACCTTCTTTGAATCGCTTATACCAATACTCACATGTACTTTTAGATACAATGTTGTCTCCAAGAACAGAACATATCTATTCACACGCTTTCCTAACACTTTTTCTTTGATGGAATTCATAGCGAATGCAGTGTCTAATAAATAGCTTATCTTTTTTTTTTAAGGTGAAGGGGGGAGAAAAAGTCCTTTATATCTCACAAGGAAAGTCAATGTTTAATTATTCAACAAAACATTAAGTGCGACCGGTTTAGAAGTATCATCACTTCATCTTCAGGCTCGCCTAGTGGAAAGGAGAATATGTGGTGTAAGGTGTGTTGACTTTGAGCCCACAATATATAAAATAGTAAAAAATAGAAAAACTCACCATACTCTCCATCCACTAGGGAATACTACAGACAAGTTTCATCAAAACGTGGGGGATGAAATAAATTGTAAAACAAAACAATGTTACAAGTTATAAAAAGTTAAAAATATTTGAAAAACAAATATTAGTCGATATAAACAGTTAAAAATTTTAAAATATTCAAGACTATACAAAAACAAATCACATACATTAAACAGATTAAAAGATAAGGCATATTTTAAGCAACATTGCTGTTTTTTATAAAAATCTAACATTTTTGAAAGGAGACCT